TGAGAGTAGCACTGTGACTTACACGGTAACGATTCTGTACATGTACATATACATGTATTAATACCGTAGATTCACTCGGAGAGTAGCACTGCGACTAACAGATTGGCTGCTTGGGCACTTCATGCGCGGCGCATCGCCTTCAGAAGGCAAAGCACTGAAGAAAACGTCCCTCCGCGCGATCATGAGAATCTGAAGACTCCTCGTGAGGAGCGGGTAAACCGGTAAACCGAGTGGTGACGTAGGGTTCGTCACGGGGGGATTATTCTCCATGTGTCGATCGCTTCTAAGAGTAGGAGCCATTTAAATGTAAATACACTTAAATGTCAACTTTAGGACACTAAATAGGAAGTAACGTAAACACGTAAGTGCCGGGCAAACAATTTAATCCACGACTGCGGTGTCTGGGGAGGCTGCTCTTCACTGCAGCTGTCTGATAAGCTCAACGCAACGCCGACAGGAAGGAGTACCACACGGGGGCAAAGTTACGGAATGCGTTGCGAGCAGACGACGTAGTGCATGTCAAGGAGTTCCTGAAGAGCAGTCAGCCGTATCTGATGGAGCTAAGCTCGTATTTGAACACTTTTGAGACGCGACACTTCGCGCGCAAGGAGAGACACATCACAGTCACGAAGCGAATCCCTCCTGAAGATAGCGTGCCGTACCGTCTTCCCGAGGCTATGGTACAGAAAGCGCTAGCAGATATTGAACGCAGGACACCCTACGGTGAAGTTATGGATCTCAGTACGCCGATGGACGCAAGCGTAGAATGCTGGGTAGCAGACATAGATGGTGTGGGTGTGTTTACACAACGCCAGCTGATGGCGATGCAATTTTTGTGGAGCTTCTCTGCAGCATGCGCGAACGGCTTAAAATGCTACTCATGGCTGATGGGTAAGGTGGACATACTCTTTGACAATGACCAAGCCGCTTTGTTGGCTAAACGAATGATTGAAACATGGCCTGGACAGCGCCTTCCGGGATTCGACCAGGGCTTTCACTTGGACTGGACGCATTTGTACTGTGCTCGAGATGGCTGCTGGTTCAACGACAATTTAATTCAAGCCTTCTCGGCGACGCTGTCGGCCAAGTACGGTGCCAGCACTACCATTTTCCTACCGCAGCTTAAAACACCGGCAAAAGATAAGGGCCATCGAATCCCACCACTGACGTTAAGTCTTGTAGCAGCTACGAACATGGAATGGGTGTTCATGCCGCTGAACGTCAATGCCAGTCATTGGACATGCCTCGCTGTGAACCAGCTTCAAAAAATCATTTACTGCTACGACAGTCTCGACAAACGCGCCTATCAAAACTTGCTGGAAGAGTTGGCGCAAGAGCTCGTGGTCCGGAGCATGACGGAGCCGTACGAGATAATAGCTGTGCACAACCCCATCCAGAACGACGGTGACAACTGCGGTCTGTTCGTATGCCTGTTTTTCTGGCGCCGCGTGTACAAGGAGGCACCCAGAGATTATTCGAAGACGGGTTGTCTACGCCAGCGGTGGGATCTCCTTCGCAGTGTGGTGGACTTTAGTGACTCCAGCAAAAACGCAGAGTAATTCGATGCTAAGTTTTGCAATACATGTTTACGTACCATGTTTTCCATGCTTGACATGTTTTAGTATCAGACACCTGAGATGGATACATTACGTAAGGTAGTTTCAACCCATGACGAATGTGGGGGTGAGGTGTCGCCGACAACACAGAATCCTCTTCACTCTTACTTTTTTACGTCGTACTGATAACATGTTTGGACATGTTACAAAACATGTGAAACATGTATAAGATAAAATACCGGACCTTCGTCATTTATTCCCAGAAAACATGGATGGCACCTGGAAATGTATCCATGATCACCATTGTTTCGATACCTAACCCTTTTTAAAAACATGGGCTGTATCGCCAGCCAATAAGAAATGGCTGGGATACATGTAGGATTCCAGAAAGTAAACTGTGAGCTGCACATTTTCCCAACAAGAAACAGTTAAGGGAAATGGTCAATTAAGCGCCGTTTGCCAATTAAGCGTCACTCTCCATTTTGGTCTGTCATGTATCGGTTTCCACTTTTACCTCTTCCTATTCGCTAATACGTCATAAGTACGAAGACCTGCATATTTTCATCCGAAAATTTGGCGGGAAAGCGCCAGCATTTTAGCGCCACAACCATTCAATCCCCAGCTACCATGACGAAGCCCAAAGGACGTCGGAGCTATACGACGGAGCTAAAGAACGAAGTTGTTGCTCGAGTTCGAAGAGGCAAGACTGTTGCAGAAGTTTCTGCTTCTTCAGGCGTTCCTGAGAGAAGGATTCGCGAATGGAGCACGAAAGTCAAGCAAGGAAAGTCGCTTGAGTCGGCACGTCCAGAAAAAAAACCTCTTTTACCAGCAGAAGCGGATTAGCATATATATGATTGGGTGGTTGGCGACAGCTCGGGGGCATCCTGTCGACCGGGCTGGAATTTTGAGGAAGGCAAATGCGATTTCGCTACTCGTGTGTGGCAAGAGCGTCAACGATGGATGGTACCGTCGTTTCCTGGAGCGTAATCCATCGTTAACGCCACGGATTGCTCAAGCGCTGTCGCTGAAGCGAAATTGCGTTGTGAAGGAAGATCTCACTACGTTGTTCAATAACCTGGCGAAGCTGGTTATTGAGCACCGTCTGGATAGCTCTCGTGTATTTAATATGGATGAAACGGCTTTTTAAACCCGGGAAAAGAGTAAAAGATGGTAGTTGTACGTGGTTCCTCCAATGTTTGGTGTACAGACCCATCCGTCAACTTTCATCTCTCTATTGTCGCGTGTGGAAGCGCTGCCGGCTTCGTGGTACCGCCCTCATTCATCCTGCCTGGCAAAACGGCTCAGTGGGATATTCCGGAGGCATGTGATGTTGCTGGGGCGTCTATTACAACGTCGCCGTCGGGATTAATCAGCGCGTATTTGGTCCAGAAGTGGCTACAGGCTTTTGCCAACTCCGTTCCTAGCAGCGTGCAGCGACCCATCCTGCTGGTTCTAGACGGCTGCGCGTCTCACTATTCCGCCGATGTGATAGACGTAGCTACAAGTTTGGGTATTCTGCTGGTGCTGTTACCACCAAACGCTACACATTTGCTGCTACCGTTAGATGTTGCCGTCTTCGCGACACTGAAAGACAAGCAGTGCAACCTTATAAATGAGGTCGTTGAAGAAGACGACGAGGGATGTTATTCTATCGACAAAGTGATGGCTATTAGGCTGGCTGGTATGGCATGGGAAAGCGCCAAAATTGGCCGAAACATCAAAGTTGGGTGCAAGACATGCGGAATATTTCCGGTGTCACTGGTCAGTATGACCGAACGTTTCCAAATTTACAACAAAAATGGCGCTCCGCGCCATGTCCATCTTGCATCCTGGCTGCATGCTAAACCGGTAGTAGAGGCTGAAGTTCTCATGCTGCCTTCGCCGCCAAAAAGACGAGTAAACGCAAGCGAGTATCTGTGGGAGGACGATGGCTAACCCATGAAGTGCTTACAGCCAGCAAAAGCAATGCCAAAGCAAAGAGACAAAGGTGTGGTGTAGTAGAACACACAAATATCGTCAGATGTGGATTCCTTACACAAACCACAACGAATCGCCGACCTAGGTCGGCGGTTGTATGGCCTGCGCAGAGGGTGGTCCCCTCGCGGTCCGGCCCTTCCGGGACAGACGAGTGGCTCGCTTCCACTCGGTTCCGACTAACCAAGTCAGATCACTTCCGAGGCTCCGCCGAGTTTGGTTCGGCTGAGCTCGTTCACAACCCTGTGCCCTCCACCAAAGGATGGACGACGGCGCGCGAGCGCTTTTACAGGTCACCGAGCGCAGAGGCTGCTCAGCTAGAAGTGTTACGGCACCCGGGCTATCCGACGTACCGGCCCGCTGAGTATGCGGGACTTTCTTTCGCGCGTAGCGAGACTTTGTCCTACCCGGACCAACCTAATCTCTTGACGCTACCAGTCAATACCCTACAAGCTATGCCTCTCGAGTATTGACGGCAGGCATAATCCAGCCCTATGCAGGGACTTACCGGAAAAGTGTACACGTGTCTTGGACTAGGAAAATTCTGCTCTGTTATCTTCTGGGAGCCCTTTCGGCTCCCCCTATTTAATCCTATGCTTCTCATAAAAATATCTAATGAAATGTAGTCGTTTCGGATCTCTACCGACCCTTCAGCTGAGTTCCGGCGACCGTTGAGCTCAGCGGCTATCCGGATAGCATATCCGGACAGATCGCCGAGTACTTACCGTGATCCTTTGTTCCTAAGCTCTGGGTTATCAGACCGAGCCGATTCTTGATCGAAAGTAGGTTGGCGTATGGTCGAATCTGGAAATCCCTACACCACAAAGGAAACGAACGTCAACTGAGACCGCAAACGCACAGGCTCACGAAGCTGTACTCTCAATCGTTGTGTAAGGGAACAAAAATGATGTTAGTTTGAGTTTGTAGATATTCTT